TGGTTTGGGGAAATGGCATACAAGAAAATAAGAACATTTATTTTGCTACTGTCAAAATAAATGTATAATTTATCATATTTACCCCTCTGACAGATTCCTCTGAAACCTCAGATGAGAATCGGAAAGGCTCCAGTGTCTCCAAGTGTCTTTTAAAATGACACTGTTATGTGCTCTGCAGGCTGAAAGGTTGTTTTGATTGTTAAAACAGTTTCTAATTTATGTTTTAAAAAAATCTTCAGGAGCCAGGCAGTTCTCTGCTCTCCCAGAGGCCATTGAGTTAAAACAAGGTAGAGTGATTTGTCTTCCCTCAATTTAGCTGTAATGAGTATTAAGTGGTTTATCTATGTGGAGAAAAGTTACTCAGCTAGATTACATCCAAGTTGAATTACACCCCGTTCCAGATGGAGTATATTTTTGAAGACAGTAAATCTTGCAGAGGGTGGATAATAGCAGTAATGCTCCTTCCTGGGCTGGAATGTGACTCTTCTACCTCTCGTGGAGATAATGTGCGGAGCTATATCCAATTAGTTTTTCAAAGGCTTTGCACAGAAACGGGACTTCAGGTTTTATGGCTCCGCAAACGATTTAGCTTCAAGCATTTGCATTGTACAAGTGAGCGATGGCTGATGGTGGTCATGGCTTTCACCCATTTTGCTGTTGCGGGTGCAGGGTGTGATGCTGGCTCTCTGTCCCCAACCTCCTCTTCTACACCAAGCATGATGGCTGCGACAGGGAGGGTGTTGGGTGGAAGGTGAGATGTTTTGATGGGAAATTCCTTCTTTCTGGTGCCATCTGGTCCATAAGGCACCACTGCTCATGCTTGCAGCCCCCAGGAGTAACTGGAAGAGGACGTTGGCCCAGGTGGCACCGAGTGCCAGAGCATCCTCCCAAAAATATTATCTGTGACTATGTGTCCTTGACCACCATCCTCATCTGCTTCCCTGCTACTGTGCATCCCCGTCACTATGCCACACTTCTGCAGAGCCAGCTGGCGTGGTTCTCTGGCCAGGGCAGGACAAGGTGTCAGGTCACCCGTATGGCACCAGCAGGCCTGGGTGGACTCAAAGCTGGTGTCATGAGGGGTGGGTACACTCCAGCACCCAGGACCGGGAACTGCTCGTGCCACAACGGAGAGAGTGCATTTGGGCTGGTGTAGGTGGAGCATTCTTCACAGCTGGTGGCAGGCTTTGACAAGGCAATGAGGACCATTCAATTTCTAATGAAGGGCATGAGGGGGTCTGAGCTATCAGGGATCCAGCTCTGCTGCCTCTCCTGGGTGAGTCAGCACAGCCGTACTTGCCCCATGGCTCTGGGGGAGGCAGAAGAGGAGGGAAACTCACTGATAAGAGGAAGGTCAGAGGCAGAAAAATGTTGGGAATGTGTTTCTTGATCTAATGTGGGAGAGACCCAGCCTGGGGTTTTGCTGCTCAGCTCAGCAGTGTTATTGCCTGCTGTTGTGAGAGTTATAGCATTTTTAAAACCTGAGATCAAGATACAAATGGCTCATCTGGCACCTACCTCAACACAGGCAGGTCCAGAAGATGGAGGCGACTCATCTCTGAGGGCACAGAGAGGGTGATGAGGACTGTGGGCACTGTTTCTCAGCCTTTGCCTGAGATGGAGAGTCTTCTGCTGACAAAACAACTCATTTGCTTTTTTCTTTTTTTCTCCATATATTTTATGTTGCTGTGGGGTGTTTCTGGTTGAGGTCAGACATCGTACATGGTTTGGAGTGGAACAGTCGTGTTTGAAAAATTCTAACAAATCTCAGAGTAGGCTCTCAAGGCTGAGGGTAGCTGTGGTGTGCATTGGCTCCTGGGGATGTAGGGCTTGCCTTGGCAAGGAGTACCCTTCTTTTTGCAAGGGTTATGAAACCAAAGTGAGGAAATAATTCTCTCTCCATTTCCTTTTCTTTGGCAGCCATGCTCTATTCTTTCCATCAGCCAACCAGACAGTCCTTGTAGTGTTCAGGACCTGAACACAACAGCTTCTGCATCACCATTCGTTGCTTAACCTTATTTTGCTGTAGCTGTTAGCAGAGCTGGACCCCATCACAAGCACATGTTGAAGAAGTTGCTCACCAGGTTCAGGTTTCCAACCTCCATCTAGAGTAACTTCCCACTGTGCTTGAACACAAAGCTGCTGGAGAGGACCTCCTAGAGTTTCTAGTGGACCTCTTGCAGTTTCTCTGCTTTCCCTTGGCCCAGAGCTGTGAGACAGGGCTTGTTTTCATCAGAAATAGTTCCTATATGCTTTTTTTTTTTTTGTTACTGTTCTTTGCACACAAGTGGTGTGGTGGTCCGCTATATAAACACTTAATAGAGATAAGAGAGTACAAAGGTGAGGAGGGGCACTGCATATAGCAGCTCCCTCCTGCTTGGGAAACAGGCTTGGACTGCTAAGGGGCAACAGACTTAGTCAGTGCTGTGGTTCTTGTGGAGCTTGTGTCTGTTACCAACATCACATTGAGATCTTCTTTCGCGTTATCTAGCATTTTTGCACTTGTTTATGCAGGTGTTGCTGGCTCTGCAATTTATGCATGCAGAGTCTCTGCTCAGTCAGAGGGATATCTCTGGTTCCCAGGGAGGCAGGGATGGAGCCTCTCCTTTGACACTGCTTTGAACCTTTCTAGAAACTGCTTTGAATGCCCAGATACTTTGAGATAAAAATCAGGACCTGCTGTATCAGGATCACTGCGTTCATTATGTAGAGGCACTTGGCTCTGCTGCTGCTGCCCTGGCAGCATGTGGGTACCGAGGAAGCTGGAGGGCAGGCGGGGAAGGACACCATATCTGCCCAGATCTGCTGATGGAGGGTGGTGGATCCACTACAGGAGTGGAAATGGTGGAGTCTCTGGTTGTCTTCAGACAGAGCTGGAGGCTGTTCTGGGGGCTGTTTAGCCAAATGGGTATTAATGGGCTGAACTTAGGGGCAAGTTAACAAAGTGTGGTAGCCTGGGGCACAGAGGAGGTCAGACCAAAGGGTCCACGGTCCTCCTGGCTTTGTGTTTAAGAATCTCAACCTCCTCTCTTACCCTGCTGGAAGACAGGTTCATTACTAATTGGGCAAGTTGTTCAAGCTGATGCTGAAAGCTTTCTGACTTAAGCACAGATCTTATGCCACATTCTGCTTGCCACCTTTTGATACACATGGCTAAATTCACAACTCTCTTGACACGAGGCCTTCATGGGGAAGGTGCTACGGGTTGATTGATCCTATAGCCTACTTGGTTTGCCCTCTTCTCCTCTGACCTGGAGACTCCTCCCACGCTGGGGCGGTTGTTGGGCAGAGGGAGTTTGTGGTCCCTGGAACTGAAGGTGCTGTTGCTGAGAACCTTACCACCACTTACACTGTTCACTGAACTTACATAGCTTCCTACGGTGTCTTCTTAACCTTTTTCGTGAGGCCTCATTTGGATTTCCTGGCTTTGGACAAAGCACAGTCCAAAAAAATAAATGGGCAAGTTTCCTCTGAGAGTGTTTGTGCTTTGGATGGGCACTTGACTCCGATGTGTTCCTGCTGTTCCTTTCTGCACAGTTTGGCACTTGTCTATGGCAGACACTTTTTCAAGCATATTCCAATTTTTCTCTTGAATGGTCAAAGCACTCTCAGTGATTAGCAGTAGCTTGCATGCTAGCTCTTCTGCTAAACTGCCCCCAGAGTGGCCAAGAAACGGCATTCAGGCTTGTGCCGAGTGCGTTCGGCAGCTCCTGGCAGAGGCAAAGATAAGCTCTTTAGCTCAGAGCCAGCCTAAACCTCACACGTGTTCATGGACGTGTGTTCCTCTGCACGGAGAGCCGTGGTGGCACCGATGGTCCTGAAAAGTGCTGGCAATTGGCAACGTGCACCAGCACCGTGACTCACACTCGGTGAGAAGTCCCTGTGGTTGAATAGCGGCTTTTGCAGTCACGATGTAATAAAATAACTGAGGTAAAACATAATTCCATCTTGCATTTGTGTAGAAAGCGTTTTGAGTTTTTTTTCAGATGCTTAAAGCTGCAAAACTCTCCCTCATCTGCCCCTGCTGTAACAACTCACAGCCTCTGCCACTGAAATTACAAGCGGAGGAGAAAGTTTGCAAAAATCCAGATGGGTGGAAGGAAATATTGTAAACTACTAAGCTATAATGAAAAAGGAGAAAAGGTTTTCCCAGGTTCCTTTCGTTTCTTCTCTGCAAAATTTGCAAATGCTTTGCTTCAAAGCACTTTCCAAAATAAGAACCAGATGTTTTGAAGAGCAGTAAGCCACCCACAGAGCTCTCCAGCAAGTTGTCTTCCACGCCAGGTCACCCTATCCGCTGTTGCTGTCTTATTGCAATGGTAAACTGGCCATCACAGCCCTTCAGGTTGAATATTACCATTTTGTGTCAGGGTGGCCTGTATTTTATTGTCCTGGTATTTTCCTGTTTAGTGTTAACGCGCTTCCACTAGATAAAACAGATGTCCTGGGTAGGCACTTGTTGTGTACGTCGGGCTGTGGGCAGGCTCCAGCTCTCTGGCCTTGCCATATACATGTCTTACAGCACTGTGAGTTGTGGCAGTGACCTCCTTGTAGAGCTGTGCCAGCAGCTTGTTTTTGTGAGTTTTTCAGTTGTTTTTGAAAGAAAGAGGCAGGTGTGTGGAGGGGTTGTTTATTCAAACCTAAAAGGAAACATCTTGTTCTGTCGTTGAGCATTTCGGTGCATTTTAGATGAATGAGAATGGCTTTCAAAGCGAGGAAATGGCTTTTATAAAATTGTGAAACACAGTATTTCAACTTCATTTTCCTTTCCTTCCCTGACCTCCCAACTTGGTGGCACTGATATGGATTGCTGTTGCTGAATCTCAGCTTTTTAGTGAAGAAGGCTTTTGGCAGAATCCCCTCCTCACCTTATACACTTGGGGCTTTATTCATTAGGTCTTTCCCAAACTTGCCTTCCGTGGAGTGGGAAAACATACTGTCTGACAGTACTTGCCTGTAACACAAGAAGCTTAAATGTATTTTTTTCTCTTTTCCTAAAGATTCGTCTTCCAACTATATCAGGCAACTTGAAACAAAAGTGAAACTGCTGGAGGATGACAACAAGCTTCTTTCCCAGGTAGGTGTTTTATTGCCTGATAGATATTAGTGTGGCTCGGTTCTCCTGCTTCTGTACTGTTGTGTCTGAGTGCCCGCTCCAATGCACAAGGGATTTTGGTGGATATCCTGCCAGGGGAAGGGCATAATGGTCTTTTCATAGCAACTGCCTACTGATAGAATTTGGTCTCCCTTTTTTTTTATCTTTTTTTTTTTAAAAAAGGACCCTCTGTTAGTGTCTGTGTGTGTTTCAGACATGCATTAACACCTCTCTGCAGAACACCTTGACCCATGGCTGCTCTAGGGGATGCTGTGAGGGTCTGGTGGCCTTGCTGTAGGGTTTTGTCTTGCTTGCCCATTTACGTTGACTTTTTTCTTGTTGGCAGAGGAGACAGTAGTCAAAGGACAGTCTTGGGAATAGTTTTGTGCAGTGCTGGCTACCAGCTCTTTTTTTTTTTTTTTTTTTTTGATCTTACTTAAAACTGATCAGACCTCTCCAAACTAGCACTTTTTACTTGCATCTGCCCTTCAAAGTCTATTCCACGTGCCACTGGGCTTTTGTTCCCTGCTGGTGCTTAGTGGTGCTGTTTTGTGTACAGCAATGTCAAGCAGCAGGAAGAAAACTGTCATTCTGTCTGGTGTGTCCCCTGGATCCCCTGTAAAACTCAGCACTTGGTCTAAACAGGGACACCTTTGCTGAATTCAGTGAAACACTCTCTATTTAAACCATTGAAAAAGTTTCCCCTTTTCTCTTGTTCTTTGCATCCTTTCACTGTTGTATATTCCCTGGCATTTTAAAGGGGTTTTTTTCTATACTTTGCTTCATACTTCAAGCACTGAGTTTCCCAGTCATTTTATCTAAGGTTTTTTCCAATTAGAAGGACTGGAAATAAAAAACCTCCCCTATTTTTTTTAAATAGCTCTTTGCCAGTTGATGTTGTGCTGTTCTTTGCATTTCACCAGGTTTGAAAATAGACTGCTCCAGGATCGCATGTTTCAAAAACATTCCTGTTTAAAGAAAACAACAAAAAGCTCTATGCTTACTGAAACTTTAATGAAATAGTTTTGTCAAACCTTCTTTTTACTGAAACGTACATTTTGACCTGCCTGAGCTTTTTTAAAAAGATTATCCCAGATTTCTAGTGTATTCATTGGCATGGGTAACCATGAAACAAAACTCAGAGGACACCAAAGGGTTAAAACCCCGAAAGAGTGCTCAACTCAACTTCCGCCAAGTGGCTTCATGTATTAATCAATTGCTAATTTAATTTTAACTCCCTCTGTCTTTCTCCTGACCTGTCAGTGAGCTGGTGGAGGTCGAAACCCCGAGACTATTTGATTGGAGCTATTGATAAGCAGGCGGGCTGCGCGTGGGCAGTTGGGAAGCGCATGGATTTGGGGATGGGCTCAATGTGCCCTTGGCCCAGCTTCATCCTGCCACAGCCAAGCACGGCACTCTGTGGGATCTGTCTTATGAGGTCAAAAAAAAAAATGTGGTTGGTAATTAATGGGTGGTAAATTAATAGGGGCTGAATTAGCTGCCTGGGTTTATTGCATCGGGAGGATGCAGCCCAGGTAGTCTCAGGGAGCGTGAGCCTGAAGCATCAGCTCTTCACCTTCCTGCTGTCCCGGGTGGGAAGGATGTGCCTTTTCCCCCACAGCTGTCCTCACCTTTTGGGCTGTGTCACTGCAAGAGTGTGAATCCTGAAGGGAGGGAGATGATCTTAAAATAGCTCTCTGCTCTGGAGAGAGCAGCAGGCACCGATGCCAGCCTGGCTGTGACATTCTGTGTAGCCCCTGTGCGATATCGTAAAGGCTCTCCAAAAGGACCAGGATCTGACCTATTGTAGATCATGCTCAGGAAATACCTCTTTTTATCATAAGCAGGAAGACAGCTCTCCTTGGGGCAGCAGGAGAAGTGTTGAAGCTTCTGTGGTCTGAGTGAGCTCCCTGAGAATACTGAGCTGCATCACCTCCAAATCTGTCATGCTACAAACCTGGATTTGGATTTTTTTTCTCTTTCCATGAGAAAGATGAGGAAAATCTGTATAGGCACAAACTCACACGCGTATGCACACGTTGCTCCCAGCACTTTTCCTGGAAAAGTATAATCCACTTACTGTATTCTTACTTGCTTCATCTGATTGGGAGGTGTTTAGCTGTTGCCATCCGGATCTCAGGATAAGACTAGTTAAAAAGGATCCTGGCAAACTTTCTCGTGTTTTTATAGTTGCCAGGTGATCCTGGCCGCTTGAACTCTGCAATGCCAAACTGGCTTGTCAACACCAAAGTCACATTTTAACTCGGCATGGCTTTCTCCCTGGGAGTATAGACATTGCAATATTATTTGCAGTCTGGTGTCAAGAAGTTCTATCACCAGCGTGCTGAGGAGTGATGAAACCCGACGTCCTAAGTAACAAACAGTGCCTGTGCATTAAGGGATTAACAAATCAGTGCTGGTTATGGAAGTCTTCCTGGCTTCTCTCCAAGTCCTAAACATAGAGCTGAAATAGTGCTTCATCCAGAGAAACCTGAGAAGGCCGGTGCTGTGAATGATATTGCAAGCTTTACGGGAGGATTTATATTACAGTGGGCAGTGATACAATGCCCCTTCGCTGGCTGGTGCATCCTGAGTGAGATTTGTTGCTTTATCTTCTTCAGCATCTGGGATGTGAAGCTATGCTGAGAGGTAGTGTCTTTGTGCCACCTTCAGGAATGGAATTAAGGTGGTGCAGGGGTCCCCAGCCTGCACTGTTTTCTCCTGCTTCCCGACATCTCCTTTCTCCATAAGCACTTTGGAAGAAAATCTGGATGGGAGAGGCGAGAGCTCTCCAGCCTGTGCCGAGGTGGTTGCCCTGAGCTGCATGTGTTACCTGCAGCGTGGGCCTGCTGGAATTCACACTTCTCTTCTGGTGATTCCTTTGGACAGATTAATGGAGAGAGCTTTGGCTCCCCATGGGAGATCAAAAAGTACCATCTCATGAGCCGCACTTAGCAGTGGGAGGAAATTAAGTGGAGAAGTGGACATTATTTATGATAGCCATAAGGGTTTGACTTGACTTGAGGTTTGACTTCTTTTGCTTTCTAGGGAAGGAGATGTGTATTTCCATTTGGGAAAAGAGCTGCTTCTGACATTGCTAAACCACCAATAATCATCGCTCTTCCCGTTCTCATTTCTCTGAGGAGAAACAACTCCAGCTTTATACCTTTCTTGTATTCAGGTTTACACTGTAATGTTTTGTGATTATGGCCATGTTAACGAGAAAGTCATGCTCTTGGATGGCTTCACTGTGCTGGCAAGATCCCTGGCAGCAATTCTGACAACACAGACGTCAGTCAGCAATTCTGACAACAGCTTTTGTTGCCCTGTTTTTTACTGGCTGGGGAGATGCTGGAGCAAATTCCACTACCAGAAGAGACCCCTCAATGCCTGCTCACCCGTGCTGGTAGGCATCTGTGGTATAACCACGGTGGTAAAGACCCCACAGAGCAGGTGAGGACCTCAGTGTCCTGGGCTTGACGGTGTCAGCCTTTCTCAGAAGTGTAGCTGGTTTCTGCAAGTTTTAGTCAAGGTGTAAAGAAGATGAACGTAAGCTCTGAGGAATGTTGGGTGTTGGCTTTGGAGAGCTTCACAGGCATCACTTCTGTAGTCTCAAATTCTCTAGGGAAGAAATGCACTAGGTTCTGCTGCGTGCGTGCAGTTAATCTATGCAACAGCATGTGGGAGAAGTCCTGTTTTTCCTCTGTGTCATTGTGGGGAGTGCCCCAGAGAGCTGGTGTTAACCTCTCCATCACGGTGTCTGGTTGACTAGATGAGGGTACCTTACATATTACTAAGATATATCCCCTGAGATGGGAGACAATATTTGCTTTCTGTTTCTCTGAGCTGGAGATGTCCAAGCAGAAAATAGATTTCTTAGTCAACCTCACACTGCCCCTTAAACTAAAAATTAATTTGTAATTACGCCCTTTCCTCTCAAGATTAGAGAAACCCGTGTTTATGAGCTTCGGGAGCTCCAAAGGTCAATTCTGGTTAGTTTTATAACTAATGCATACATTTTAGAGATAATAACAGTGACAAACTTCTGGCCATTCTTTCACTATTTCATTAATTATTTTGCATTTTCTGCTCACGTACAATGGCAAGGATTGGGCTCTTTGAACTGAAACTGGAGGTTATAAGCTTTGTGGAGTCATCACTCTGTTCTCCTTCCTCATAACTAAGTCCTGTGCACCATGGACTGGCTGTTGGGACTTCTTTTGGTTTATAGTCTCTGCTAAGCTGTGTCTGGATTTTCCCTTCAGAACAGGAATGCCAGAGGCATTTTCCTACTCAAAGATGCCCAGGGCACGTTGCACACCTTTGTTTCAAAAAGCCCAGCTTTCAACAGAGCAGATGTGTAGGGCAGGTGAGACTCTGAGTAACTAGGCATTTGACAATGAGGTCTTGGTGCATCTTTCAGGGACAATTTCAGGTCCCTGGTGCAGAGCAGAAATACAAAAAATTCTTCTCTAGGGAGTGGAAAGCCCTTGGGATTTATGAGCAATGTCAGGGTATTTAATTAAAATCACCAAATAGACTTCAGTAGTAACAGCATGTCGCAGCATTTTAGTATCTGGCTGCTGAATGGGACTGAGAGCATCCCTGGAAGGACTTGAAAACTGTGCTTAGTCTTATTTTCAAGAGACTGCATGCTTAGTCTGAATTAAAAGAAGGCTGCAGCTGCACAGATAGTAAAATAATAGTAAATAATGCCTGTAAACACTGCTATTAAAACAGAGCTGAGATTTTTGAGTTAGGAGCTTCCATGCTAAGGGCATCTGCAGGCTGCCTCAGTTCTTCTTAACAAACATGCACTCAGCAGGCAGTTTCTAGCATATTGTTCTGAAAATAAGGGGGAAAAGACCGAACCCCAGGATTGAAGAGAGCCTGAGAATTGTTAGCACTGGCAAGAACGAAGGTGTACGTGCTGTTCAGCAGAGAGCTTGATCTCTTCCTGAAGAGCAGAGGATGGAGAAGAA